AGAGAGAGAGAGAGAGAGAGCCCGAGAGAGAGATTTTGTAAAGACAACAGGATTTGACTTCCCCATCAGTTCCCACCACAAAGCATCAGTTATCTTTCGACTAGCTGCTTCTTCGCCCGAAGTGATCATCTGATAAGCATCATCGAGAACGGGTGCCGCTGGCTCTGCTGGCAAACCTGCTAGTTGTAGCTCAGCAACTGAAGCCTCAGATGTAAAGACAAATCCAAACTCCTGCGAACTAGACATGCACATGAACTCAGGACGTTACTGGAAGGGTTTCGGCTTCCTGGACCTGGGGCGCCTCGGCCGACTCTGCATGAGCAGCGAGGTGCTCTGGCATTTCCTGGGCAATGGGCGGTTAAGCTTACAAATCATATACCTTATATAATTGATTGACAAGTCTCAAAGCTTGCAGCTGCTTGTGAGTCTTCATCAAGGCACTTCTGCAGCTCCTTCTAGGGAATTTTGTATATATAGAGGCTTAGGGGAATGACTTTGGGGTTCAAGGGTATGAAGGAAGAAGCAGGCCCCAAAGTAGGTTTCCCACATCTGTCCTCAAGCTCCCGCAGGCATGAATCTTTATCCAAGGGCAGAGAGGACTTGTCCACATGTTCTAGCCCATCATAAAGTGATCCGCAGGACCATAGCTTGGAAACACCAGACAGGCCTACCATGGCGTTTGCCACGAACAGCCACTCTCAACTCTAAAAACTTGAGACAACTTCGAACACAGCGTAAAGGCAAAGTACCTTTAAGTGCAGCATCACACAGCGCCTGTCCCGCAACTAGAGATCAGCACTTTGCTCTTTCCAGCACCGCGCTATACTAGTGCCAGCCGTTAGCTGTGGGACAAACCACAGTTGGCTGTGGGACAAACCACAGACTTCTGCAAATAATTGCCGCTAATTGCCGCACGGAGCCTTCAAAAATGGCTTGCGACAGCACTAAAGTGTACTTTGGAGAACCCGGGGTTAAGCCATGACCGCGTCATGGGTAAATCACGGGTAGGTCATGGGTAAATCACGGGTGGGTCACGCTTTGGGTCCGACCCGGGGTTTAGGGGATACCCGGGGTTTAGGGTAGGAGCTAGCCTGGGAAACCGGGGTTTGCTGTAGGAAGAAACCCGGGTTTAGGTGGGTAAATCACGGGTAGGTTACGTGTAAACCCCGGGTTCTCCCAGTTTTGTCTGATCCAGACCCTATCCAGAATTGCCCAAAACCGCTGAAAACGCAAAAGTACCACCATAATTGTTAATTGGGATTATATTTATTAATTTTGGGAAAACCAGAACCCGCAGAAACAACACCAGGCAGCCCGCATAAGCCCTAAACTTCCTAAACCCGCAGAAAGCTAATCAAAAGCCCGCAGCCGCACTTGAAAGCGACACCGTTCCGGAAGCTCGCAGCAGGATCAGCCATATTTAAGGTTTAAACTTTATATATATATATATATAGGGTTTAAGGGCTTAGGGGTTTGGGGTTCAGGGCTTAGGATTTATAGGGTTTACGACATCTAGCGGAACCCAAGGCCCGAGTCCTGATATATATACTTCTGAAACCAAACCATGTACGTTGTCTGTACCTAAAACAAATCGAGTCTTCGTGGAATAATAGGACGCCACTGATCTGGAATCACCAGACTCTTGCATCCCCGCAGGTACACAAAAACGGATGAAAGATCAGCTCTGAAGAAGTCCCCACAGATATTCTCTCCCCCAGCCATCCAAAAGACAGTTTGCTGCCCTGGACTCACATCTCCCTCTGCCAAAAGACAACCACGGCGATGCATCTTCAGCTGCTCGGAGATGCGCTCCATCTCGCGGGCAAAGGCGACGGGATAGATCCTGGGATGGCCGCATTTTAGGGGTTTAGGGGTTTAGGGGTTGGGGGGTTGAGGGGTTTAGGGGTTTAGGGGTTTAGGGGTTTAGGGGTTGAGGGGTTGAGGGGTTGAGGGGTTTAGGGGTTTAGGGGTTTAGGCGTTTCGGGGCTGAGGGGCTCAGGGCTTATTTTGGTTTTGCTTTTTCTCTCTCGATTGATTAGATGGTTGCACAACCTGGCTGCGAAATCTTCGGACTTTGGTGGGGATTGGTATATTAACCATGTTTGTTCTCAAAGACGAGGAGCTGGGTCTTTTCAAGCTCCTTGGTGCCTTGGTACTTCACTCGGCCTGTCTTGTCCTTATATCTTTTCACCGTCTTAATGGTACACTTACCCCGTTGCATCGCGGATTTCAAGCGCCCTCTGTCCAGCAAATAGGCCACCGTAGAGTTGGAGAGAAGGTAATGTCTTTTTGGGGTTCTGGACCCATAGTTGCCCATCCAGAAGCGGACAGTGCTAACCTCGGATATAGGATTGTATTTCGCAGTAGAAGACAATCTATATAAACGCAAGACATGCAAAAACCTGACTCGGACCAAACTCCCAGCGTAAGCCCGAAACTGCATAGGGGCCACCGACACAACGAATAGCCAACATCAGAGCACGCCAGCATGGGTAGTATTCAAGGAAGCTACCAGCTGGTTGCTCCAAGGTCCAACAGCAATCCATCGCTGTGCATAGCATCACGAGAAGAGTAGTCCTCGCGCATGCAGGCATCGGCTATGGGGCTTGATCTATACAAGGTGGGGCTCTTTTTCTACATTCCTGTGCAACACTGCAATGTCAGTCCTCTCTAGCAGCTTGTTCGCATAAGCTACGCTTTCATGCTGTGGGAAACCAACGGAGTTGCAAGCAGAACGTTTGGATGTTCCCATGTTCATCACACAGAACGAGCTGCACTTGATGCCGAAGTGCACCAATGCCGTCTTGCATTTGAAGATAGATAGGATTGCAAGCCTGGGCCGATCAAGTTGGGGATCGAGATATAAATCATATATGCAATTGGCGATAAAGTCTTTGCACACGATAACAAACTGTGAGCAAGAAGCGCAAAGCCAGCATCAGTTTGCAGGTCCATGAAATTGGTGCCGGGTCGTTGCTTACCATCCAAAATATCGAAGCGAACAGCTTTGTGTCCAGCTGCCCGCATGACACGATGGATATTGCCAGCTCCAGCGAAAAACTCCACATAGGAATACTCCTGGTGCTTTCTAAGAAGTCAAACCCCAGACCTTTGCCCCACAGCTTAAACCTCTGTCCAAATCACACTCGAACGTCTCTGGAGCCGAAGTTGAGCCCTGTGTTAAACCCTCCATAGGCCCCGAAGACTAGCCCAGAGTCCGGAACCAGGAGCTTCTCATCCATGGACCATATGGCGAGGAGGCATATCAGTACGAATGCCTGGTCAGGATTCAAGGATATTCAAGGATTTCTGAAGTTTTGGCAGAGGGTCCTGTAGGCCCCAAGCCTGCCTTCGGAGCTCCCAAGACTTTAAGTCTCCAGCACAAAGTGTCCACATCAAGCATGGCTGTCGAGGCTGTATGTGAAGGCGTATATACATTCATGTCCGATATAATTCTGCAACGACTTCTGTAAATGGCTTCGATGAGACGAGTAGCTCCGATCCACAGGTGAGTACAACCTTGCCATGAATCCTGGTAGCCCCTGCATGAACCAGCAGCATTCCCCCAACCCAAAACATGCAGGCTCGTCGATTCTGCAGCCTTTGGACATGCTTCGCATGCCACTGGTATCCTTTCGGAAGAAGAGGCATCGCTGGCCGGGCCTGGGCGAGCAGATATTAAGGGTGAGGAAGATTTGTTTATAGGTTTAGGGTTGGATTAAGCGTCGGTGGGGGCTTTCAAATAACAGCTAGCGGCTTCGGGCTCCAGGGCCCCGTATCCATTCTTCTGGATTAATTTCATGTAGGGTTTAGGGTTTATATATATACTAATCCTTTAGGCCGGTAATATTCCGAATGTGTTTCCTGAATGATGGAAGCTGCCTGTTTGCCGTAGACATCTCATTTTTTTTATTCGGCGCTCTATAACTTGGGCTTTTTAGTGTCTATAGGGTTTAGGGTTTAGGGTTGAGGGTTTAGGGTTTAGGGGTTTAGGGTTTTAGGGCTCTAGTAACTTTAGTATGGTTCACAGGGCTTTAAGTCTCTAGGAGAGTTGAAATTCACTGTTTCAGGGTTTGGGTTATTGCGCGAGCACTGTAAGACCCAAAGCGAAAGAACCCATTGGCTTAAGCCCTACATATATATATGTAGCATTTCCTGTAAGACCCGAAAACAATGAACCCATAGGCCCGAACTCCTGAAGCCCGAAATTATCTTCTGTAAGACCCAAGAACTTAAGTCCGAATTCCTTAAGCCCGGTAGCATCCTCACCCCACAGCCCCCATAAAACCCAATTGCAAATCCAATAAGTTGCCTGCCCAAACCGCACAAACATATCATTTGCGACAGAAGAATGCGCTGCGATTGTCCTACGATCTCAGGTTACAGAGATCATCGTTGGGCCACGCTAGGGCCGGCCACTTCTCACAAGAACCCAGGCTGCAACCCCGAGGCCAACTTAGCATCTCAGAGTCAGGATCGCTATTGTAGTCTGCATATACATTTTGAAGGCAGGAGTTGCATCCTGGCGGGAATTTTGCCGTGACTGCGCATGTCCTGTAGTATGACCTAGAAAATTCTATGATACTGATTGAACTAGAAGGAGGTGGTCTGGCAACACTTTGAATATTATGAATGAACAAGCACAGTATACAAGACTAGACGAAAATACTTTGATCTCAACACAATTTGTGTCGCACCGATCTAAAGCATCCGTGTGCCTACGATCGTAAACCCTGCACAAGCATGTCAGCCTGTGATCCCCACGATCAGATCTATACACACATCCACTGGGCGGTGCACCTAAGAGATCAGAAGTGAGCAAAAGCGATCAGTCATCCGGGGAAAGCGTCCTCAGCGCGTCGAGCAGCTGCTCCTTGACCACCGCGATGACTCCATCGGCCTCAACCGACTTTGTCGCAGTCCAAGGATTGACGATGGAATCGGCGATCAAGCCATCCACAACCATGCCCACAAGCTCACCGGCTTTCATTGTCATAGCCATCTTGGCTGTCCATGCAGCATCCTTCGGCGCACCGGCAACACTGAGGTTCACAAGCTCCTTCTTGCTCTCCTTGAGAAGGACGCCAGTAGAACACCTGGTCCAGTAGTGCGTCAAGCTGCAGGCCGTGGACGACACAAGCTCAGCTTTCATGCGCAGCTTCAGCGAACGGGACTCTTCCTCGCCATCGAACTTGTAAGCAAACTCGATCATGGCTGCCTTGAGCAGCTCCACTGAGTTCATCGAGAGGTAGCTCACGAGGGCATCATCAACGGAGATCTGGCTCTCTTCGTCGTTGTCAATCGTCACACCACGCCTTGAGCGAGGCATCGATTTGCCTTTTGCAGCAGCTTTGCACTTCGCCTTGGGCGTAGCCTTTGCCTTTGCCTTGGCCTTTGCTTTGGGCGTAGCCTTTGCCTTTGCCTTGGCCTTTGCTTTGGCCGTAGCCAAAGCCTTTGCTTTCGGCGTAGCCTTTGCCTTTCCTGCGGCCTTCGCTTTAGGCGTAGCCTTTGCTTTTCCTTTGGCCTTCGCCTTGGCCTTCGGCGCAGCTTTGCGCTCTGGCTCCGGCTCGGCCTCGGCTTCATCCCAAACCTCCTCCGGGGCGTCTTCCGGAAACTTTGCCACATCATACTCGAAGTCACCTGTGCCCTCTTCTGGCACCGGCCACGCCTTCATCATCTGCCGCCTGCGCTTCGTAGGCGACACCATGATGCTCCCCTTGCGCTTCAAGCCCTTTTTCCCACGCCTTTTCAACATCTTCTTACCCTTCTTCTTCCCCTTGGTCGCTGTGGTGCCCCCCTCAACCTCCGGCGCCTCGTCATCGGGGATCTCGGGGGCCTCGTCGTCCGGGATCTCGGGGGCCTCGTCATCGCGGATCTCGGGGGCCTCGTCATCGGGGATCTCGGGGGCCTCGTCATCGGGGATCTCGGGGGCCTTCGTCGGCGCCGTCTTGGATTTACTGACGGTGGGCTTCTTCTTGCCCGTGCCAACGGATTTTTTCCTGGTGCGCTTCTTGTCGCCCGTACCAGTCTTATTCTCTGTCTTCACACCGATCTGATCGCGCTTCGTGACCACAGGAAACTTCCCCGCCTAACCGAAGTTCGTGATCAACAACCACCCGAAGCCTTAGCTAATATTAAATCCGTATATCAAACGACAAACTTTTACACCCTGAAGCCTCCTCGGAATCCGTGAACTCCTGCTCAGGAAGCTCGGTAGCTGCTGGCTGTGGAACGACGGCAGCTGCTGTTTCTGCTGCTGGCTCTGGAACGACGACTGCTGGTTCTGCTGGCTCTGGAACGATGGCGGCTGCTGGCTCTTCGTTCGCAAGCATTGCAGGATTGTCCACCGGTTCGGGGAATGGAATCTCCAAGATGTTACACGGCTGGGTATCATCCGAAGCGCCCCCAAAAGAAGTCAAAGGAGACTCTGAAGGAATGGAGTTTGCTCCTGTAACTCGGAACTCTCTATAAGGGTTTAGGGTTGAAGGGATTAGGTAGAAGACATAAAGGGTTATAGGGCACATCATTAGATTTAGTCGCTTCATTCCAAACATGACGGAAGCCCAGAAGACCTCTGAACTATCGATCCCACAAAAACTAACATAGAAGCTGAAGGCTTATGTATATTAGGTAATGGGGACCCATGGACCCATGGTGGAGAGGCTAGATCAAGATGAATTTTTGAACCTTTCAACAGAAGGTCCTGAGGAAGTTGAGGGTGCCGAAGCAGCAGCTAAAGGTCTCCTCGGCGCAATAGGCAAAAAGGGATTCTTTGGAAAGGGTTCTCTTACTTGTCAAATGCGGGTGAGAATCGCTTGAAGCCTGGCTTTCAGGGCTGCAATCCTCTCTTCCATCGCAGCACGCTGGTCCCGTGACAAACGACCTGATTGGAATTACCGGGCGGCTTCATTCAGCAAGCAATCTGATTGGATGAGGTTCCCGAGCCTGACGGACGACGTTGCAATACCTCGGAATTTGCGGCGCCCTTCGGCAGGACAGGCTCGAGATCCTGTGGAAGATCGGGGGTTCGTAAGAATCAGAGTGCTTCGGGTTCAATATTAGCTTACAAATCACATAAGAAACATATACTGCGCAGTGCGCGAACCAACCGGGCCTTCGGCTCCAAAAGGGATTGTCGATGCAGGGATGGCTTGGGAGTTTCCGGCTTTGGCAAAGAAGCTTCTGCTGGCAAGGGAGTTTCCGGCTTTGACAATGCAGCTTCTGCTGCCTTGGGAGTTTCCGGCTTTGGCACAGAAGCTTCTGCTGGCAACGGAGTTTCTGGCTTTGACACTGCAGCTTCTGCTGCCTTGGGAGTTTCCGGCTTTGGCACCGAAGCTTCTGTCGGCTTGGGAGTTTCCGGTTTTGGCATCGCAGCTTCTGTCGGCTTGGCTTGCTTGGGAGTTTCTGGCTTCGGCATCGCAGCTTCTGCTGGCTTGGGCTTTGGCATCGCCGCTTCTGTTGGCTTGGGAGTTTCTGGCTTTGGCATCGCCGCTTCTGTTGGCTTGGGAGTTTCTGGCTTTGGCATCGCCGCTTCTGGCGACTCCGTGCTTTGGTTCTCCTCGCCCTCGTCTTCATCATCATCGTCGTAGGCATCCTCATCGGATGCCTGCCAATCACAATCATGAATCATAAGACCTGCTAGTGGAAGAACCGGCTAGAAATATCCGAAGGTCCCCTTTTTTAGGGAAGAATTCGCTTGTTCAATCATTGTCAAAACCTTCAAACGACAAAACCGGGCCTCCTGAGTTTCTTCCGCTGTGGAAGATCCCAAAGTAGCATAGCGCTTGGCGTTGTACGCATCAATCAGCTCCTGTGGGCCGGGATGCGGGACCATGTATCATGTAAATAACTTCGGTCTTTATCTTATTTCCGAATTATAATATATCTCATATGATATTGTAACAGCTTATATCCCCTTAAATTAAACCCTTTTGCTTCGGAGCAAAGGATATGGCCTGCAATTCTGGATCCAGAGCCAAGCAAAGCTCTTGGAAGCGTGTATCCTGGGAGGTGGACTCCGCTATATAACGTTATAGGCTTGTTTATTCAGAATAGTATGTTTTTAAATGTTGGTTCACTTGGGGAGAAATGCTACTGAAGAAATGCTACTGAAGTCCCATTGCCGAAATACTGCAGAAACTTCTTTGCGACGCACCTTGGCCTTCACGTGTGACAACAGCTTCCTTATCTGGAAACTGTCCATGCTGACTTGGTCCTTGATTTCAGGTCCAATTCTCTTGTTCATCCTCAGCAGGATTGTCTCTTCATGTCGGAGGTCATAAACCGAAGGGAGTTTCCTGTCCTGCTGGTGCATAGCGATGACAAGAGGCATTAGCAGGGAGAAGTTCAGAACGCAAGCGTTATTGTCGCAGTACAGACCAGTTTCCGGCGCCAGGACAGGTCCCCCTTCACGTAATCTGTTGCGAATCGCATCGCAAGCATCCCAGCTGACATGAACATCCTTGATATTCAAACCAGCCTCGAAAGCTTCGCCAGCAAACTCTGCCGGCTGCCCTTTCTTACTCCTTTTCCCGATCTTCCCCATTGCCTTGAGCGAACCCTACAGCTGCCGCAATCCCCGGCTTGAACAGAAAATCCTCAACCGGATTAGTATTTCGCACTGACAATGCTCGCAATCACAACTGATGCCACTGGCTGTTGGCAGGACTTGCGCTGAGCTATGGACCCATTGGCAAAGAGACAAAAGTCTCCCATCGCCGGCAGATCGAGGGCTTGTGGGCTTAGGGGTTTAGGGTTTATGGGCCTATTCGCAAAGAGACAAAAGTCTCCCATCGATAATTGATCGAGGGCTTTTGGGCTTAGGGGTTTAGGGTTTATGGGCCTATTCGCAAAGAGACAAAAGTCTCCCATCGATAATCGATCGAGGGCTTTTGGGCTTAGGGGTTTAGGGTTTATATATTGACTTTATTATACATTGTGGGATGAAAGGCTCTCGATTATCAGAAGATTCCAAGATGCAGATTGAGAATGTTTGCGACTCCTACAATCATCGGCTGCGGCACTGTCCTGGGAGCTTTCGGCGGGAGTTTCAAGGTTTGGTTCCGTAGTCATAACAATACCGAAGACTTTGAAGTCTTGGCAAGGTGTACATTTCTTAGCTGTAATCGATCCCTACCTCAAGGTAATATATTTTATGGGGTAAACCCGAGGTCTTACCCAAGGCAAACGGGGTTGACAATAACTCATAGACTATACCTCGGTTATCAAAAATGAACCGACTTATTCTTCGGGTATCGGAGGTCAAGGTAGGCCCTAAAGTGGTTCCTTTTTGGGGTTCATATATAGAATCCTATAAGGTAACCCCAAAAAGGAACTACTATGGGGCCAATGGGTAATTACAAATCTTTCTAAGACCCTATTGCAAGTCTGGAAGCTCGCATGTTACACTGCCACGGCGTGCTTATACAAAATCGGCCTGAAAAGAAGGTTTTAAAACAAAAGCAAACTTACTGGGGCCAAGCCGTCCACTCGTTGAGACACCCCTAAGAGCTTAAAGCTTGAAAACGTTAAACCCAAAACCTTTAGACGCCTGAAAGCCTTTCATCTCTCATGGGGTCAACACCCTAAGACTTTAGACCGTGAAACTTGGAAACCCCATCAGCTTCAGGTGAACCCAACCTTGAACCTCAACAGTACACCCTGATCTCCAAAGCTCTACTTGTGTTCAAACAATTGTTTCAAAACATTTTTGGATTGTTTTAAAACAAAATGATGGACTTTCAAGCTACACTGTTGAGCGGCGAAAATACGCATGTGTGCGAGCTGATGAGGCCGGCAATGGGCGGGGGCCATCAGATCGAGGGCACTGGCAACCTGGTCTACCCAGCCAATCCCGATCAGATGGGCCAGGTGGTTGTCCCGACAGAAAGACATGGGCGCCTGTTGCCTGCTGATCTTGCTTCACTTCTTTGACATCAAGCCAGACAACCTGCTATTCAGGAATGGTGTGTGGCATACCGCTTTTTGGCCAGGGTTTCTGCTCTGTTGCAGGACGGAAAGTGGGTGAGCTCACACTCGATGTCGCCCGATGCCTCTTTGAGGTCCTTGTTGCATCGGGCGACTGGTCCCGGATGCGATCGCCGAGACCTGCGGGTTCCTTCTATGGCAGTCCATGTGACGGAGGAACGTGCCATCGATAATAGGGGTCAGTGTTCAGGGTCTAGGGTTTAGGGAATCCTTCCAGCCCCTTCCTTTGAATGTGTCGCAGGACATCTTCTTTGAATGTGACCCTAAACTCCAAGCCCTCAAGAGCACTGTTAAGAAGCCCTTTCTATTTGAGTATGACCCTAAACCCGAATAAACCCTGAGCCCTTAAAGCACTGTTTGGAAGCCCTTTTCAGTTACATATGACCCCGCACCCTAAAAAGGAACTTGTTAATAAGCCGCTTCCCGGATCAACACCAAACCTTCCAACCCGAAGCCCTTGAACCCTCGAGAGCCCTAATTCCTAAACTTCTGAGACCCTAAACCCCTCAACCCTACACCCTGAACCCTCAACCCTAAACCCTAAACCCCTAAACCCCTAAACCCCTAAACCCCTAAACCCCTTTACCCTGACAGGTTCCCGTAAAGGAACTTCAAACCCAAAAAGGGAACACTCTTCAGGATCCTTTAGGTTTAGGGTTTAGGGTTTAGGGTTTAGGGTTTAGGGTTTAGGGTTTAGAACCCGTTGTTCCTTTTTATTGCAATGTGCCCTTGTTGAGACCGAAGCTTGGGACAAAAGGGTACCCTTAGCGCTAAGGGGTCACTCAGGAACCTAGTAGAACCGAAGCCCTTAAACCCACAGCCTAAACCCTAAACCCTAAACCCTTAACCCTAACAACCCCTAAACCCCTAAACCCTAAAAACCCTGAACCCCTAAACCCCTCATACCCAAACCCTCTAAAGAACCTAGGATCTCAGTCCGTCCGAATGTGCACCCCCCCGAAACCCTAAACCCCTACAGTAGGCCCTAAACCCTAAAAATAAACCCTAAAGCCTAAACCCTATATAAACGTTTAAAGAGCCTAGGATCCCTTTCCGTTCGAATGTGGCCCTAAGCCCTAGACTCTAAACCCTAAACCATAAACTCTAAACCCTAAACTCTAAACCCTAAACTCTAAACCCTTCAAACCCCTAAACCCTAAACCCCTATAATCCCTAAACCCTAAACCCTAAAAAGCCCTAAACCCTAAAGCAAACCCCTAAACCCTCATAAGCCCTAAACACCCCTAAACCCTAAATCCTCAACCAAAAC